AGAGAGAGAGAGAGAGAGAGAGAGAGAGAGAGAGAGAGAGAGAGAGAGAGAGAGAGAGAGAGAGAGAGAGAGAGAGAGTCAACAGGTGCGCTGTACCATAGATAGGCAAGGGAGTAGATGTACCGATACAGTCAGACCTTATGCCAGGCCAAGTGAACGGACACAACAACCTAACAGCAAATTATATCCAGCACAAAAATGTACTTTACCAAGTGCCGACCAAGTTCCAACCTTACCAATGAACCTATCCCGCTCTGGTCAAAGCTTCCTCTTCACGCGTCAAACAACTTGGTTAAAAACAGAGAGGACAACAAGAGTGCGCTCTGATGCCAAATTGCAACGAGTCTGAAATTTGAACGTAAAGACAACATCTCATGCTCACACCAAGTTCCACAATTCATACAACATGAAGATGAAATCCAAAGACACTCGATAGGAGAACTCAAGTTATCCAGAAATTACTGTCTTGTGAAGTTGGTTTGTATACATTTGGTTGGGCATCTATGGCCACCAGCATCAACAACAAAAGGAAGAACTCTCACACCAAAGGAAGAACCCTCAGGCCCCTCTCCCCTCTTTGGATATCTTCTCGTCAAATTATGGTCATAGTTGATGGTTTCAGTAAGTTCGCAAAATTTGGTATCCGAGTTAGTATCCAACGTGAGTTTTTCACACATTGTGGTAAAGACAACGGGTACCCTCTAACGATAGTTAGTGATAGAGATGCTGAGCAATGGCAAGAATTTATGACGTAATTCAAATCTCAGTTGATCATGTCCTCGGGCAGACCGAGCAGATGAATAAACTGTTGCAGCAAACCCTCAGTATGTACATCAGACCCAATCAGATAGACGGGCATGGACACTTACCTGGAGTTGCGGGTGCATATAACAATTCTCTGCGTCTATCCACAGACAAGACCCTGAATCAGTTGCACAAAGGTTGGCAGCCACGACTCCCCATTGACTGCCTCAAGATCAAGTATAACGGTTGCAGCAGACCCTCCGTTTGTACATCAGACCCAATCAGATAGACTGGGATGAACACTTACCTGGAGTTGCCAGTGCATGCAACAATTTTCTGCGTCTGTCCACAGACAAGACCCCGAATCAGTTCCACAAAGGTTGGCAGCCACGACTCACCATTGACTGCCTCAAGATCAAGTATAACAGTTGCCACCTAGCACACGTGAATTCGTGCTGCAGTATGCGAAAGACCTGCAAAAAGTCAAAGAGAACGTTAGGAACGTCCAGCAGAAGATGGTAGAACAAGCAAACAAGCATAGGAGACCATCCAAGTTTGTGTGGGCGATATAGTGTAACAGTTGCCACCTAGCACACGTGAATTTGCGTTGCAGTACGAGAAAGATCTACAAAAAGTCAAAGAGAACACTAGGCACATCCAGCACAGGATGGTAGAACAAACAAACAAGCATAGGGGACTGTCTAAGTTCGCTGTGGGTGATCTAGTGTGGGTCAAGTCAAAGGAGTCCATACTAGAGGAAGGAATATCTTAGAAGCTATTGCTTGTGTATATAGGACTGTGGGAAGTCATAGAAGTTACGGGAGATGCTGATGGACTGTCGTGCACACACTGATGTTCCTCCACATTTGTGTACATACACTGTATTCCACGCCATAAAGTTACTGCCTGTTGATTCCAATCCTTCATTCCCCTCAAGAAGGTCAATTATACCCCCAGATGTGGATGGAAGTTATGAGATTGACCGAATAGTTGACCAAGCCACATTCAGAACAGGGCAAAGAGGAAGACCACATCCAGAGAGTTCAGAGATAGATAGCAGTATCAAGACCAAAGGAGGACATATGGTTCCCCGAAAATCAACTAACTGAGTCTGCATCGAGGATTGTATCGCACTATGAGCAAGCTCTCAGAGGATTCAGGATTACTACGGGTAAAGTTAGTAACTTTCTCAAAGGACCTTGAATTTAGACCTGTGGGAGTGAAAGGATTCACGAACCGCGGAGTCCAATGCAGTCTCCAAAAACCTATTTTCCCATCTGGTATGCTATACATTCTAGGCCTTAGTTTGATTCCGGTCATACCGAAAGTTGGCGTTACTTCAGGGCCATACAGTCCACACCATAGGTCTAGGCATTCTTTAAAATATGTCGTTCTGTCTGTTGTCCGTCTGTCAGTTCCAGCTCAGTCCGGGGTAAGGTCTGAGAACAATTCTGATTGTTGGAAGCAAACTGCTGCCACAAGTACCAGGCCGACATCAGAGTTCACAATTTGAAACTGCTGCCAAGTACAGAAGTCCGTCACTGTCCGAGGGTCGACAATGATTGCCTGTGTGCTGGTGGCGGAAGCATTGTTGCAGTCTCGTGCATTACAACAACGGAGGAGCAGCATAGTGTAGCAGTAGTCAAAGGCGCTTGGCGCCAGCTTAGTTTGAGTGTGTGTGAGAGAGAGTGAGGTGAGAGGAAGACATTGAGAGAGGGAGAGTGCAAGACCTGCGAGAGAATAGAGTAAGAACAGATAGAACCGACAGTGAGAGAAGAGACTTACTGTGTGTTGTATTTGAGCTGCCATAGCCGTTTCAGTCCATATCTCATGTGTGCTTCATGTGTTTTC